AAAAAAAGACAGGAAATAAAGAAAAGACCAAAATGGATGTTAGAAGAGAGCCTGAAACTTGCTCTTGAATGCAGAGTAGCTAAAGTGAAAGGAAGAAATGTTGAAATAAAAGAGCTGAACATAAGGTTTCAAAGGGTAGCTCAAGAAGTCAAAGTAAAGTATTACAATGAAATGTAAAAAGACCTAGAATAAGTAAACCAAAAGGGAAGAACACACTCAGCATTTCTCTTCTTTTGGTGACTGTAGGCTTTTTTTGCTGCTCTTTTTCTAATTGTTGTAGATGTTGGGTTAAGGTGTTGGTTTTGACTCTTTTATTGCTATAAATTGGCCACTGATCACAGCTTTGCTGTGTCCCAAAGATTTTGGCATGTTGTATTTTCATTCTCGTTTGATTCAAGGAATGTTTTAATTTCATTTTTTATTTCTTCTATTACCCAGGCGTTTTTAAGGAGGGTGGTATTCAGTTTCCATGTCTTTGTTCTTTTTCCATTGATCTTCTTATTATTGATTTCTAATTTTACGGTATTGTGATCTCAGAAGATGCTTTGCAGTATTTCAGTGTTTGTAAGTTTATTAAAGCTTGCTTTGTGGGCTAACATATGATCTGTCCTGGAGAATGTTCCATGTGCACTGGAAAAGAATGTATATAGTGCTGTTGTTGGGTGAAGTCCTCTAGATGTCTATAAGGTCAAGTTGTGGATTGTATTGTTTAATTCTTCTGCATCTTTGTTGAGTTTCTTTCTAGTTCTATATTTGATTGAAAGTGGTGTATTAAAGTCTCCTACTATGACTGGGAAGTCTTCTATTTGTCTTTTTAATTCTGTTAAAGTCTGATTTATGCATTTTGGGACTTTCTCATTGGGTACATAGATATTTATTATGGTTTTATCCTCTTGTTCAGTTGATCCTTAATCATTATATAATGTTGTTCCTTGTCTCTTATGGTGGTTTTGGTCTTAAAGTCAATTTTATCAGAAATATTGTCACTTCTGCTTTTTTTGATTGCCACTTTCTCACATGCTCAGCATTTCTCAAGCTGAAAGAACTGAAGAAAAAATTCAAGCCTTGAGTTGCAATATTGAAGGATTCTATGGGCGTAATATTGAATGATGTGGCAAACATCAAAAGAAGATGGAAGGAATACAGAGTCACTGTACCAAAAAGAATTGGGCAATGTTCAGCCATTTTGGGAGGTAGCATATGATCAAGAACCAATGGTATTGAAGGAAGAAGTCCAAGCTGCCTTGAAGGGATTGGTGAAAAACAAGACTCCAGGAATGGAAGTAATACCCACTGAAATGTTTCAACAAATGGATGCAGTGTTAGTGGCACTTACTTGTTTCTGCCAGGAAATTTGCCTGGCCTACCAACTGGGAGAGATCCGTATTTATGCCCATTCCAAAGAAAGATGATCCAATGAAATATGGAAATTATTGTTGTTGTTGTTGTTATGTGCCGTCGAGTCGGACCCGACTCATAGCGACCCCTCCTTGGGTTTCCGAGGCAGTATCACTATGGAAGTAGATTGCCCCATCTGCCTTCCGAGGAGACGATATCATTAATATCACACGCAGGAAAAATTTTACTAAAGATAATTCACAAATGATTGCAGCAGTATACTGACAGGGAATTTCCAAAACTTCAGGCTGGATTCAGAAGAGGAGGTGGAATGAGGGATATCATTGCTGATATCAGATAGCTCTTGGCTGAAAGCAAAGAATACCAGAAAGATGTTTACTTGCGTTTTATTGGGTATGCGAAGGCATTTGACTGTGAATCATAACAAATTGTGCATAACACTGAGAAGAGTGGGAATTCCAGAACTCTTCATTGTATTCATGAGGAATCTGTACATACATCAAGAGGCAATCATTTGAACAGAACAAGGGGATACTGCATGGTTTAAAATCAGGAAGGGTTTGCATCAGGATTGTATCCTTTCACCATACTTACTCAATCCGTACGCTGAGCAAATAATCTGAGAGGCTGGACTATATGAAAAATGTGGCATCAGGATTGGAGGAAGACTCATTAACAACCTGTGATATGCAGATGACAACCTTGCTTGCTGAAAGTGAAGATGACTTGAAGCACTTACTGATGAAGGTCAAAGGCTACAATCTTAGTATGGATTACACATCAACATAAAGAATACAAAATGCCCTCAGAAATTGGCCAATAAGTAACCTCATGGTAAATGGAGAAAAGATTGAAGTTATCAGGGATTTCATTTTACTTGGGTACACAGCACCCATGGAAGCAGCAGTCAAGAAATCAAATGTCATATTGCACTGGAGAAATCTGCTGCAAACACCTCTTTAAAGGATTAAAGAGCAAAGATGTCTCTTTGAAGACCAAGGTGTGCCTTACCCAAGCTATGGTATTTTTATTCACCTCCTGTGCGTGTGAAAGCTAGGGAATGAAAAAGGAAGACCAGAGAAGAGTTGATGCTTTTGAATTGTGGTGGTGAATAATACCGAACATACCATGGACTGCCAGAAGAACAAATAGATATGTCTTGGAAGAAGTACAGCCAGAATGCTTCTTAGAAGCAAGAATGGCCAGACTTCATCTCCCCTACTTGGGTTAAGTAGGGAGTTCTGGTGGTGTAGTGCATAAGGCATTTGACTGCTAACCAGAAGGCTGGTGGTTCAAACCCACCAGCCACTCCTCAGAAGAAAGATTGGTCAATCTACTTCTGTAGAGGTCCGCCTCAGAAACCCAAGGAGGGGTTGCTATGAGTCGGGATCAACTCGATGACAGTGAGTGAGTTTTTATTTAAGTCCTGTTGTCAAAAGCCCCCATTCCCTGCAGAAGGATATCATGCTTGGGAAAGTGGAGGGTCAGTGAAGAAGGGGAAGACCCTAAGTAGTGGGTTGACACAGTGGCTGCAACAGTGGGCTCAGGCCTAGCAAAAATTGTGAGGATGGTGCAGGGCCAGGCAGTGCTTTGTTTTGTTGTACGTGAGGTCACTGTGAGTCAAAAGTGACTCAGTGCACCTGAGAACAACAAAAATGACTGCGGAAGCTGAAACTGTACAAAGTAATCTTAATACAATAATCCATGGGGAAAATTACAATCGTTCCATGACATTTAAAACATTTGTCAAAGCATTACAAATTCTTTTACTGTTATAAATGTACAGGGAAATGAGAAAAAAAAAAAAAAAGTAAAGCTAGTATTTATTTAGTACACTGTAATAGAGACATTGGGAGCTCTGGTAGTGTAGTGCCTAAAGCACTTGACTGCTAACCAGAAGGCTGGCAGTTCAAACCCACCAACCACTCCTCGGAAGGAAGATGGGGCAATCTACTTCCATAGTGATACTGTCTCAGAAACCCAAGGAGGGGTCACTATGAGTCTATGAGTCGGTCGAGACCACTTTACTTCTCAATGTGTTCAATGTTTCTATTGTGTTGTTGTTATCTGCTGTCAAGTCTGTGGGACTTGAGGGTCCGACTTGATGGCAGATAACAACAACACAATTGAGAAGTAAACACATTAAGAAGTAAAGTGGTTTGTTTATTTGTAAAAACCTTATCCAGAGTAGTTTGAACAGTGCTTGCCACCTTGTTTTCATCATCATACACATTATGATAAACAGCAAGTATCTGTTCTTTTCTTCCATGAGTTATCAGATTCTTCCTGAGTTTGGATCAGCTTCCAATGTTTTGTCCTCTGCCCTTGCAGTGTTATGTTTCTTTGAGTTTCTTTAATTTGATACTTTTTGTTGGTATTGTTTTTTTGTGGGACATCTTCATCTTCTCATTACAACCACCTTCCTTATTCACTAAATTTCTCTGACTGCATATCTACAACCTCTTCCAGCATATTACTTTTTGACTTCATTCTTTTTTTTTGCCACATTTACCCTTCCAGTTGTCGATTTTTGTGAAATATCACGTGAGTTTGTGCCATGGCATGACAGGATGACACGAGGAGACAAGGAGGGTACACAGTGCCATGTTTTGCTCTCAGCGTGTGACTGAACAGTAGATGTACAGTGCCCGTCCGTGAGCACATGAGTCACTGAGCTTGGTATGCTTCTTTGTCTATGCAATTGCTTATTTACGTAGTGCTCGGTGCACTGGGACGCTAGCAACGGAATTTGTAAATTTCAGTTAATGTACTGTGGTAACTGAAATTTGAACTGTGTTGTTGGAGGACTAGTGTTTAAACCAGGGTAACTGAAATCTGTACTTACGGGAGTTGTGCAAAGAGAGAGCTGCCTGTATTGAGTTTCCTACCATGCCAGGATCCTGGCTTTCGGTATATGGCAAATCTGAGGAACTGGAAGTGCAACTTGACTGGGATTGAGATAAGGCTACACAGGGAGGCACAGCTATGTGGAGGGTTTTTCCAAATCACATCACTGAGTTTGGCCTTTTTTCCTAATGGTACTCAGCAGCCCATTCAGAACCTTCTGAACCAGGAGACCTGATCCAGTCTGTGCTTTGGAAGTACTCTGGCTGTAGCATAGTAGACAGAAGACAGGAAAATGTAAGCATTAGACTGAGAAACGGCTGAGGCAGCCAGGGTGGAGGAAAATGAAGTAGCTTTGAAGAAGGTACGGAGGTAGAATCCACCTCCTTAATGGTCAGTTGGCGTGCTTTAGAAGGGAAGGGTGAGGAAGGAATCAAGGGTGCCATTAGCTGCTATCTTGGGTGTGTGACAGTGACATGTAGTGAGATAGAAGAAGCAGATGTAGAGGCAATGGAACATGTTCCACTTGGAATGTGCTGTGTGTGTTGTTGTATGTAAAATGTCAGAAAGGTTTCTTTCTAAATTTTATTTATTTTGTTGTTGAGAATATGCACAGCAAAACATATACCAAATCAACAATTTCTACATGTACTGTTTATTGACTTTGATTACGTTATTTGAGTTGTGCAACCTCACCCTCCTTTTCTGATTGCTGTTCCTTTGTTAGCATAAACTTACTGCTCCCTAAGTTTCCTCTATAACCTTTCACGTTGCTGTTGTCAATTTGATCCCATATAAATAGTTCTTAAAAGAATATAATGCTCAAGGCAGACGTTGTTTTGCTAGTGAAGCTAAACTGTTGTATGGTTTTGAGATGACTTCAGAGGGTATTTTTGCTTTAAGGTTAAACCTTAAATTTACCTCATGGCAATAGTTTTAGGAGTTCCACCCTCTGTGGCTTCAGAAAGTCTAGAGTCCATGAGAATCTGAGATTCTGTTGTACATTGCCCCCTTTTGATCAGAATTTTTCTATGGAATCTTTGTTCAAAATATTCCGTAATGGTAGCTGGGCACCATCTAGTTCTTCTGGTATCATGACAGAAGAGACAGTTATTCATGGAGGCAGTTAGTCGCACATTCCATATCCTCCTATTCCTGACTCTCCTTCTCCTTCTGTTGCTCCAGGGAATAGAGACCAATTGTTGTATGTTGGATGGCCACTTGCAAGCTTTTAAGACCCCAGGCACTGTGCAAGGAACTTGGAGTAGAACAAAAGCACTAAACACATTACTAGGCCATTTAATTGGGATGTCTCATGAAGCCAAGACCTTAGACCTCCAAACTGAGGGACCAAATCCTGTGGGGCATTTGGTTGTATGGTTGTACATAAGCAGCCTCAGTATTTACTGGGTTTATTTTATTTTTTTCAGTCAATGTTGTAAATATATCATACAACTTTTATCAATTCAACTTTTTACAGGTATACAACTTACTGACAGCAATTACAGTAATCAGTAATTGACAGTAATTACAGTAACCCAGTAATATTACCCTTTTTTGGACTTTTTTTTAAAAAAAAGCTGGATACATGGATCTGAAACTCTAAAGGCAGGGTAGGCTGTAGATACAGATTATAGAACCAGCGATGCGTAGGTGTCAGTTGAAGCAGTGGGAAAGGATCGGATGGACAGTGGGAAGAGCAGAAGCTTTCAGACTGAGTGCTGAGGCCTGAACACTAGTATCTAGAGGAATGAGGAGGAGCAGCCAGAAAGACAGGTGCCACAGAACCTTCATGTTCCCTGTGTCCCAAGGAGAAGGTGGTCAGATGGTTCGTCTCTCCTACTCATCCTGTGTCCCAAGGAGAAGGTGGTCAGATGGTTCGTCTCTCCTACTCATGTGCAGGACCTGAACTGAAAACATCTGTTAGGTTTAGTAGTATGTCAGCGGTTGGTGACCTTAGTGAGTATAGTGTCAGCTTACCTTGGATTTGTAGGGTGGGAAAGGAGGCAGTCATGTGGAGACAGTAGGTTCAGAATGTGTATCCTTGAAGGAGAGCAAAGAGAAATAGTAGTGACTGGAGAAGGGGAAGGAGCCCTCATGGCGCATAGGTTAAGTGCTCTGCTGCTTACTGAAAGGTTGATGACTCGAACCCACCATCCACTATGTGGAAGAAAGATAGAGCAGTCTACTTCCGTAAATATTACAGCTTTGGAAACCCTATGGGGCAGTTCTACTCTGTCCTACAGGGTTGCTGAGTTGGAATTGACTGACAGCAGTGGGTTTTGGTTGGGAGAAGGGAAGATGGGTTTAAATGGAGCCTCCCCCTTCCTTTTGAAAAATAATCTGTACATCTTGTTGCACATATTTTATCCTAATGGGAAGAAACTAGAAAAGAGGGGAGAGATTGAAGACAGAAAAATTATGTACACACCAGCCAGGGGTCCAGAGGAGGTCTGATGGGTCGGTCACCTTGAGTTGGAAATGCAGTGCTTCTTACATGTTAACAGGAAGGAATGAGAAAAGGCTGAATGGGAATGCACACAGGGTTGCATGTTTGCCGACAGGATCTTTTGAGAGTGATTTCCTAATAGCTTCCTTTTTTTTTTTTTTTTTTAAGAAGTAGGAGGAAAGTCTGCTGGGACTGGTGTAGAAAGCTTGGCATCTTTGCACTTAACATCTTCCCTCGTTTGCATGAGTAGTTAGACTTCTCCCTTCCCGCCTATGAATCCTATCTCGTAGGATAGTTCTAGTTCTTCGTGACACTTCTGACATGCACTCTGATGACCCTTCATTTCATTTCCGTATGTAATATTCTAGTCTCCAAGAAGAGCATGTTCCGTGTCTTTCAGCAGTAGTTAGTGCCTCTGTCTCCAGCCAGGCTGAAGCAAATCTCAATGCCTTCATGGTCTTTGGAGAGGAAACTACTTTAAGTAAATTGACATGCATTAATTTTTCAGCTATTCAGCAGTAATTGAGTAGGTGTATTGTTTAACATCTTTCTGGTAGATTTTGGTCTGTTTGAAATGATAACAAAAATAGTGAACATGGATTTTGAATTGTAATGAACTAAAAAAAGTAAAGTATTCATTGTGAGAGAAGGTATTTGCTATTTAGACAATTGTTCGTTTTGAATTGTTAGGAGAGCTTTAAAAATTATCCACATAACATACGTCTAACTTGGAGAACACTATAATATGTACCAAATTAAGCTGTGATGCCCTAGTGCATGTGCTGTGACTGATGTTTCTTTATGGCATGCCTGTCTTCTAATAAGTATGATTTTGCTTTCAAGCCTGTTCAGTGGGCGGTACACCTGGTTCCAAGAAGTGGTTCTTTGCCGTGCAGGCAATCTGTGGATTTTATCAGGTAATATAAATAAAAACTAGTTATTAGTGGATGTGTTTGTTAATATAAATAATTCCATGAATCTGCTCGTTAATGCAGTGTTTTCATTTCTTAGTTTTGTAGTTCTGACTGGGAAGAGATACATTTTGATACAGAAAAAGATGAAATTGAGGATGTTCTTCAAACAAATATCGAAGAATGCTTGAGTGCTGTTGAATGTTTTGAGGAAGAAGATAGTAACAGCAGGGAGTCATTGTTCTTGGCTGAGTACGCTGATAATGCTTTCATAACATCTGTAAACTACATGACATTAGACAGTTATTTTAGGTGTCTGACAAGATTTGCCTTCTGAAGGTTGCTTACCTACATTAATCACAAAAAGTGGTATTTTAATTAACATGCCATTTTCCTGAAGATTTTTTCTGTGATACTGTATTTTAAGAACTTGAGGAGCAACTCTAGTTGTCATTCGAAACAAAGCACCGTTTCCATTTTGCTGTTTGAGGAAGAAATATGATTTCTCCAATTTACGTGTATTTTCAGCATTTTAGATACCCTTTAAAATCCGTAAAGTGTTTTTAAGGATTATACACATACTTCAGTTCAGTTTGAGATTTACTAGTTACACTACAAAGTGGAAGTTGACCAGGTGGTATATTTTGTTTTCATTCCTTTTCTTCATGAGATGTTCCATATACATCTCATGTTTAATACATTTTATTTGTAGTCTTCCACAATACTTTATAACAGAAAACTTATTTTAGTGTTTGCGTGTGGAAGTATTTTTGTAAATAGCAACAGACTTTAAAAGTTCCCTTTTCCTTTTTTCTGATCGTATTTTTTTACACTGAGTGATGGAGACATTGGAAGAGTGGAGAGAGCATTGAACCAGGGGTCAGTGGACGAGGTCTCTGGTCATTTCTAGGGTGATCACATAGCTTCTCTGGTCCTTTGTTTTCTCATTTGTAAATCATCATTTTAGATGTTGCATGAGGGGTCTTTCAGCTTTTAAGCTTTATCATGGTATATTTTTCCCTACCACTATTAAAAGATGCCACCTGAGAAAACCCAAGAAGGGGTCGCTATGAGTCGGACCCGACTTGATGGCAGGGAGTTTATTTTTTTGTTTTTTGAGTGCCAGTAAATTTATATGGAAAATGACTTAATAATGAAGTCCACAAGAGGGAGCCTAAGGACTGGAGTTTAACTTAAGATGCCTTTAGTCTTTTAGAGGATGATGAGTTTATAATCAAGAATTTAAGTTCCTTAATGTAATGCAATAAACTATTTTGAGAAAAAAATCATCATGTGGCTAGGACTAATAAGTTTTAAAGAACTGAGGAGAACATCATATTCTCCAGTAAGGGTTGGGCTGTGCTTTCTTACCTGGATGATTCTTTAGATAACTTTCAGGAAATAAAGCACTATCCTGCTTCGGTGCACTCATAAGCAATACCTTACCAGGTTCAGGAAAATGTTTGGTCTATTAGTTAGAATTTCTGTTTAAGACAGTAGATGTAAAGAGCTCTGGTGGCACAGCGCTTAAAGTATTTGATTACTAACCAGAAGGTTGGTGGTTCAAATCCACCAGGTGCTCTGCAGAAGGAAGATGGGGCAATCTACTTCTGTAAAGATTTATCACCTTGGAAACCCATTGGGGGTCCCTGTGAGTCGAAATCCACTCGATGGCAGTGGGTTTTTGGTTATAGCGGATGTAATTTAAAATGTTTTATTTATTTTGCTTCTTTGTTTGGTTATTGGGTGTAGAGAAGACCTTGGGCTCTGGGTTTGAATCCTAATGTTCACCTACTAGTTATGTGACTTAGGCAAGTTATTGAAAGTGGCAATAGTAACTCAGTGTTATCTCACAGCTTGCCAACAGGGTTAAATGGGTGTCTGAAACATAGAAACATTTAATTAATATTACTATAATTGTAATTAATATGATTATCTGTTGAAATATGTAGTATATATGCTTTTTTCCCCCTAATTTATGTTTTAATTTTAGTCTATATGAAGAATCTGCAGAAAATTTGCATCAGTTATCAGACAAGCTTCCTGCACCTGGTAATATTTTATAACTGCTTCCAATAACTTGTGTCTGATCTTATCATTGTTATGAATAAGTGATAAATTCAGTCTTTATTTCTCACTTCTAATCTTGAAATTCAAGATGTAAAAAGATACCAAGACGTAAAAACGTATCTTCATTGAAGTTGAATGTATTAAAATACTCTATTTAAATAATCACTGAGACATTATAATTCTATTAATTGTTTTCATTTGATTAAAACAAAGATTAGAACTTAGAAAATTGGGAACCCATCTCTGTTTCCTTACTTAGTTATTACTAAAAAAGAACCCACTACATACCATTGTTTTCCAGAGTATACTCTGTGGAACACTAGGTATTTCAAAAACTCCTGGAAAAAAGGTTCTTTCACCTGGGTAATTTGGGTAACATTCTCTTATGGTGAAGTCATTGTAAAAGCAAACCCATTGCAGTCAAGTCCACTCTGGCTCAGAGTGACTGTCGAGACAGAGTAGAAGTGCCTCAGGATTTCCAGGGCTGTAATCTTTATGGAAGCACACTGCCTCATCTTTCTCCCATGGAGCGGCTGGTGAGTTTGAACCCATCACCTTTTGCTTAGCAGCTGAGTGGTTAGCCACCAGGGTCTCTGAAGTCATTATACGCATTATCACATGGAACGTCAAGCAGTTAAAGGAAGTCCTTACTCAGCAATTTCGTGTGGAACTTGTGCTTTTTTCCTATAAAGGAAAGAATATTTTGTGCATCATATTATTCTT